GGCCAGTTCGTTTCCTTCTCCCGGAAGTCGCTCAGCTCGTTACCCAGTATCTAGTCCTAGTTCAGCCGTTCCGTACGTTCCTCCATCGTCGGACATCGGGCTCTGGAACCGTCTCTGACTACTTATGGTCCTGTGGCCCTGATCGGTGGGAAGTGGATGCGATGACGCGGGCCGTGTTTCATGCAGGGCAGCGCATTCTGGGTAAGTATATCCATGTCCAGGCTTGGCAAGGAATCATGATGGGTATTGCACGACGGAAGTTCGCGAGCGCCGAGGCGAATCTGCTGATCGGGGAAGGTGAAGTTGACGAGGAGACAAATTCTGCGCTCGTCAGCCTGTTGGACGAGCTCCATTGGCAGGCCGGCCATACCCCCCACACCGGTAACCTTGTCTATGGAAGAAAGGTGAACTCTGGGTTAACGGATGCCGAATTCCAAGAGTTCCGACATGTCGGTCGGCTCTGGCACCAGTTCGTGCGCGATCCTATCCATTTCCAGCCTACACTTATCCAGGATGTTTTGAATGGAGCGTAAGTCATATTTTAATGCGTCCTTCCGTGATGTTAACATTTTTTCACATTTGCATGGTAGGAGCATATCAGTCAATGCTGCGATTGGATCGTCTACTACTCCGTCTAAGCGACGCCAGGATGAGGAGCAAGAGAGCCCGATTGTACGGCGCGTGGCGCGACGGATGGCGCCTGCTTGGACTTGGCGGTGATGGCGTATGGACCAAGCGAGGGAAAGGGTCTTCTTTATCTCCTTCCCTGTCAGCTCCCTGGTATAGCTTACACTGTTAACTATAGTCTATTTTTTATAAGAACTCAGTGCTCATGATAATAGCTTACACTGGTAACTACAATCAGTCTTTTATTTAAGCACTAAGTGCTTATGGCTTACACTGTTAACTACAGCCTAGCTTTTTACAAGTGCTAAGTGCTTATGCTAATAGCTTACACTGTTAACTACAGTCTCTATTTTTACAAGTGCTAAGTTCTTAGTGTTGAGCAGTTCTTATGGCTAATACCAGTGATCAAAGCAACCTGTTTGCAGTCTTATCTCGTTGTCTATACTATATGTTGATCTGCTGTAAATGTAAAGAAAATTCGTTGTCCAAAGTCGATATGTTATTTACCAATATTAGCTGACTGACTGATGGAATTTCAATTGTATGTTTTGGTGTTTACATTTTGCATTCTGGACACAATGAGCCAACCCTGAACGTGTTTTCTTTTTGTATATCTGAACGATAATTCGTCGCAACCATTGACAATATGAGGTAGGTTTCTCTAATTTGCTAGGCGTTAAAACACTCTTCATAGCGGATATGGTTCTAAGAATAGGTGCTTTCATTTTTTTCTAAACGAGAATATTTACCCGACATTTCGGAAGTCATTTGTTCAATGCGAGCATAAACTACAGTGTTTCTTTGGACATGATGCAGTTCACTATAGCGTAGTGGCCTTGTAAATTTGCCTTTAATGGAAATGTACGTATTTATGTCATAAAAACAAATGGCATGCATCTTCCTGTACCTTTTACATCAAATGCTCACATCGGCAATCCATGGTCACAGCCGTATACTGGAGAGCGCTTAGATGTCGCAGGGCGAGTTTGAGCCTATATAACTTAGGCATTTACCGGAAAAAATGAACATTAATGCTCGCTACTAAGGTCAATCTTATCATTCATAACTGAAAATCAATTTACCTGCTCCTGGCGTTCAAATGAGTTGTCACTGAGAAGGACAAATCGATTGGCTGAGTTGATGCCGCATAGGAGTTGTCGAGTTTAAATCGTCTGTATCTGGCGATGCCGATTATGAAATAGTGGGAGAATATGACATAAGAAAATAAAATGGTATAAAAACGGACTCAAGTTGGAATTGAACGGAATGGAGTTGGGTAAGGGTGGAATGTAGAACGACATTCATGTCTTTCTCGATGAACTGGAGGTTCTGATTAGTTTTGAAACCCCGCTGGCGGCAAGATTTTGCTTGCCCTGATAGCTTTAAGGAAACTTTCATTGCGTGATGGAACGAGCTTTAGCGAGAGACATAGCGCGGGAGGGACATTAGGATTTTAATGTAAAGAGATTGCTTATTTAACCATTAAAGTCAATTTTTATAAGCGACAAATGCTGCTGCTTATGGTTTACACCGTTGACTACAGTCTCTTCTTTTACAAGTGCCAAGTGCTTATGCTTATGGCTTACACTGTGACTACTGTCTCCTTTTATAAAAGCGCCAAGTGCTTTATGCTAATAGCTTACACTGTTAACTACAGTCAAATTTTTACAAGCGCTAAGTGCACATGCTAATAGATTACATTGTTAAGTACAATCTCTTTTTTAATGAGAGCTAAGTGCTTATGATTATAGCTTACACCGTTAACTTCAGTCTCTATTATTACAAGCGCGTAGTGCTTGTGCTTTGGTTTACACTGTTAAGTGCAGTCAGTTCTTGTAAGCGCTTATTGCTTACGCTTATGACTGACACTGTCAACTGCAGTCTGCTTTTTTATAAGCGCTTATGCTTATAGCTTATGCCGTTGACTAGAGTCTCTATTTTTGGGAGCGGTAAAAGCTTGCGCTGATAGCTAACACTGTTAATCACATTAATAACTTTTTAAGCAGAAGTAGTTATGATACGATTGATTAAGTTACTTCCTTGACAAATGGAATTAGACTCTTTCTTTACACACTCTACGTGGTATTCCTGAATGGCTTAAGGAGAAATCAAGACAGATGATGATGAATGGTGATGTTGTTACTTTGTTGTAGACCAATCTAATAGAATACATCATTTAATGTTATGTGAACACTCCAATTTGGTGTATTTTCTTTACTCTGGAGCGTTTTCTTTACTCTGAACTATTTTCTTTACTCTGCAGTTATTTCTTAACTCTAAAGGTTCCATCCTTACTCTAAATACAATATCTCTACGTTGTCAAGCTCAATCACTTAGAAATTAGATGAGTTAGATAGTATTATTCAAAAAGACTCCGGTAGAACAAGAAAAAGACCCGGTAGAATAATAAAGAGAGGTGGGAATAATCTTTTGGCTCGGGCTTTTAGAACAACAAAGACGCAAGAACTGTAATAAAGAGAACTGGGAAGCGTAACAAGATGCTTTTTATGGAGACGGATGTTGATGCCGAAGTGATTTTCACATAGAACGCCTTTGAATACATGGCTTGCATGCCTGAACCCTCTATTAATGGAACGGAGAAGTTGTCCGTGAATACATGGCTTGCATGCCTGAACCCTCTATTAATGGAACGGAGAAGTTGTCCGAGTAAACTGAAAGCCTCTAATGACTATGATAAGGTACACCGAGTAAACAGAACTAGTTTTGACATAGAACGCCCAAGAAGATAAGTGACTGGAAAACCAATGGAACGGGATGGAAATAGCATGATAAGGTATATAAGAGAAGATATTTTGGGTTTTCTTATGGTTTTCCTCTTTCTTCATTTATTTTGCTACTGGTGTATTGATGGTAAGGATATTCGTGTTATATGAGTGTATGTATTAACGTGTGTTCTATGAATCTATCTATTAACGTATGTCCTATTGTAGTGATGCTGGTGTTCTTCAGGTGTTACTGTTAGGCTGAAAGTGTTACTCATACTTTGACATGATCTCTGGCACCTCTTTACACTCTGATGGTACTTCTTTACGGTAAAGAGGTGTTCTTTATACACTGGTGTACTCTGGGGGCCTTCTTTATACTCTGGTGTACTTCTTTATGGTCTACAGTGCATTTTATACTCTGGCGTACACTGCTACACCTTTTTGAGGTCTCTGGAACTACTTCACAGTCTGTGGTACTTCTTTGCGGTAAAGAAGTGCTCTTTATGCTCTTTGGTACTTTCTTGAGGTCATTGGCACTTCTTATTACTCTAGTAAACCTCTTTAAGGCATTTGCTTACTTTGCGGTCTGTGGTACTTCTGTATACTGTTTGGTACATCTTTGGTGTCTCTGTTACTTCTTTACAGTAAAGAAGTGATCTTTCGGATTTTTACGATTACTCTGGTGTTACTCTGACTCTATATACTGTTACTATGACTGTATACCGTTACTATGACGGCGTACCGTTACTATGTTCGTATGTTTTTCACTTGGTAAGTGTTTTCATCTTTAACTTTGACTTTGACTTATGACTTTAACTTATTAACACTGTGTCTCCTTAATAAAGTCATACAGACTCAAGATAAACTTGAAGGTTAAGGATCTTTTATTGCGAAAAGGGTTACGAGCGTTAGCGAGTAACGCGTCGCAATAGTGACAATGGAATTATTTGCGCCTGAGGTTAAGGATCTTTTATTGCGAAAAGGGTTACGAGCGTTAGCGAGTAACGCGTCGCAATAGTGACAATGGAATTATTTGCGCCTGAGCGAAGCGAAGAAGCCTTGCTGCAGTACAAAAAATAACAACAAGTAAGGAAATGGAGGTGGTAAGGGAGCATATAGAGTGGGAGGGAAAAAAAAGAAAGAGAATTGAAGTGGACGCTAGGAGAAGTTCTAAAAAAGAAAATAAAAAATAAAAAGGAAGGGAGGAGTAAAGAAGAAATATGCGGGGGTACAAAAAGAGAGGGTGTACATATTGAGTACACGAAGAAAGAGAAAGGGGAGTCAAGAGCAAAGAGTTTGTA